GTCCCCTAAGCCAGCTGGTCCTGGGCCTCTGTTCACAAACACAGACCCCACAGAGCCCCAGGACAGCAACACAATTAGACCCAACCAAATCATGAGAAAACAAAAAGATAATTACTTGACACATTGGAAAAAAAATTACAAAAAAACAGAGCAAACTAACTTAATACTCCTAACTTCCTGCCAAATGTATGACCATATTAGAGACACATATTTCCCTCAGATTACACAGACCCACAAAGAATTCAAAAACAAATCCATTTTGGATAAACTCCCATATATATTGGGTGAAATACCACAGTGTGCCATCACAGCAGCAATATTTGTGACCTGTTGCCACAAGAAAAGGGCAACCAGTGAAGAACAAACACCATTGTAAACACAACCCATATTTATGTTCCCTTTTGTATTTTAACTATTTGCACATCATTATAACACTGTATATAGACATAATATGACATTTAAAATGTCTTTATTATTTTGGAACTTTTGTGAGTGTAACATTTACTGTTCATTTGTTACTGTTTATTTCACTTTTGTTTCTTGTCTATGTCAATTGATTTGGCAATGTTTCCCATGCCAATAATGCCCCTTAAATTGAATTGAGCGAGAGAGAGAGAGACTAGACCCAACCAAATCATGAGAAAACAAAAAGAGAATTACTTGACACATTGGAAAGAACAAACAAAAAAACAGAGCAAACTAGAATGCTATTTGGCCCTAAACAGAGAGTACACAGTGGCAGAATACCTGACCACTGTGACTGACCCAAACTTAAGGAAAGCTTTGACTATGTACAGACTCAGTGAGCATAGCCTTGCTATTGAGAAAGGCCGCCGTAGGCAGACCTGGCTCTCAAGAGAAGACAGGCTATGTGCACACTGCCCACAAAATGAGGTGGAAACTGAGCTGCACTTCCTAACCTCCTGCCAAATGTATGACCATATTAGAGACACATATTTCCCTCAGATTACAGCGATCCACAAAGAATTCGAAAACAAACCCAATTTTGATAAACTCCCTTATCTACTGGGTGAAAAATCACAGTGTGCCATCACAGCTGCAAGATTTGTGACCTGTTGCCACAAGAAAAGGGCAACCAGTGAAGAACAAACACCATTGTAAATACAACCCATATTTATTTTTATTTATTTTCCCATTTGTACTTTAACTATTTGCACATTGTTACAACACTGTATATATACATAATATGACATTTGAAATGTCTTTATTCTTTTGAAACTTCTGAGTGTAATGTTTACTGTTAATATTTATTGTTTATTTCACTTTTGTTTACTATCTACTTCACTTGCTTTGGCAATGTTAACACACGTTTCCCATGCCAATAAAGCCCTTAAATTGAAATTGAATTGAAATTGAGAGAGAGAGGGGGGGAGACAAGAGACGTGAGAGAGACAAAGAGGTGAGTGAGAGAGACAGAGAGAGAGAGAGAGAGAGAGAGAGAGAGAGAGACAAAGAGAGGAGTGAGAGAGAGAGAGAAAGAGAGAGAGAGAGAGTGAGAGAGAGAGAGAGAGAGAGAGAGAGAGAGCGGAATGGGAGGAGAGATAAAAGAGAGGGAGGGTAGGGAGAGAGGGATGTTGTGTGTGTTGAAGACAGATTGACGGAGGAGAGAGAACAGAGATCATACACTGGGGGGAGTGCCCTGTAAGGTACGTCCTTTGTACCTTTAGATACAGGTACATAATTGTACCCCAGTTCATACCTCAGATAGCACCTTTCCTACAGTTCACAGGTACAAAAGCTTTTAGAAAAGGTACATTTTGCCTTTACAGGGAACTACCACAGTTGTCCTCTGTAGCTCAGCTGGTAGAGCACGGCGCTTGTAACGCCAAGGTAGTGGGTTCGATCCCCGGGACCACCCATACACAAAAATGTATGCACGCATGACTGTAAGTCGCTTTGGATAAAAGCGTATGCTAAATGGCATACTATTATTACAAAGCAAAAAAAAATCTTGACAGTGGCAAAAATGTACAGTAACTTTACCATAGACCACTTAAACTGGTAGAACACTTCCACTCACGGGTGGCCAAAAATCATTGATGGAAACCGTGTCTCTGATTTTCAAGCAGATGTAAGTTTCAGGACTGAGACTGGACCATTCCGGAACACTCAACACCTCCTGGAAAGTCATTCTGGTGTGTCTGGCAATACAATGTGTGTAATTGTCCTGCTGAAAAATAAAACTCTATCCCAGGGTTAGATTTTTTTCAAATGTTTTACTTTCATATTTATTTTGATCCTGACAAACTTCCCAGTCCCTGCAGTGACAAGCATACCCATAACATGATGCTGCCACCACAATACTTTAAAATACAGACGGTTTCACTCTGTGACGTGTTGAGCGATCCTGACTGGTCCAATCACAGTCCTGTCTGAAATTAGCTTGAAATTCAGAGACATGGTTTGAATATTCTATTAATTTGGAAAATGTTCTATAATTTTATTTCTCTTTGAAAATGTGAAGTAGGTTGTGTAGATCGGTAGGAAAAATATATAATTTTATCTCTTTTAAGATTAAATTTTTAGGCAGCAAAATGTGAAAACTGTGCAAGGCGTGTGTAGATATGCACTAGGCACTGTACACAAATAAATTTACGACAAACAAGCTGCATTCAGTGGAAACACAAAACCATGTTGCCTTGCTGACAGTAGGGAGGGAGGGAGGGAGGGAGGGAGGGAGGGAGGGAGGGAGGGAGGGAGGGAGAGGAAAACAGGGGCATGGTGGGGGAACAGAGGGACAGGGAGGGAGGCTCTAAGGTCCAAATGGCACCCTATTCCCTACAAAGTGCACTACTTTTGACCAGAGGCAGGGAGAGGCTGGTAAGCTAGGAGACCGGGCAGGGAAAGGCAGGGAGGTCAGCTAGCTCCAGTGTCTGTGATATCTATTATTGATGCTGCTAGCTGGACTGGCCCCTTAGTCAGTAACCTGACACCACTGGCCAAACAAAGGCAGACATACACGTCAAACTGGAAAGACGAGCCTCAGCCCAGTCAGGCCTGCTCAGTACAGTTTACCCACCATGCAAGACAAGTGGTTGGGTTTTCACAGCGTGTATTTATTTCCTATGTGTGTGTATGCGTGGGGTTATGGAGGGTGGGGGTATGGGGGGGGGGGGGGGGGTGGGTTGGGAGAATTATTCCATGAAAATAAGGTAAGTGTTCATCCCCAATCTCGTAGTATGAGGACAGAGAAGAGGAAGATGAGTCCTATACAGAGATATTAGACAGATTAGAGGAAGATGAGTCCTCAGAAAACTACAGTACATCAGCTAGCTTTAACATGGAGCCACATCAGCTAGCTTTAACATGGAGCCACATCAGCTAGTTTTAACATGGAGCCACATCAGCTAGCTTTAACATGGAGCCACATCAGCTAGCTTTAACATGGAGCCACATCAGCTAGCTTTAACATGGAGCCACATCAGCTAGCTTTAACATGGAGCCACATCAGCTAGCTTTAACATGGAGCCACATCAGCTAGCTTTAACATGGAGCCACATCAGCTAGCTTTAACATGGAGCCACATCAGCTAGCTTTAACATGGAGCCACATCAGCTCACTTTAACATGGAGCCACATCAGCTAGCTTTAACATGGAGCCACATCAGCTAGCTTTAACATGGAGCCACATCAGCTAGCTTTAACATGGAGCCACATCAGCTAGCTTTAACATGGAGCCACATCAGCTAGCTTTAACATGGAGCCACATCAGCTAGCTTTAACATGGAGCCACATCAGCTAGCTTTAACATGGAGCCACATCAGCTAGCTTTAACATGGAGCCACATCAGCTAGCTTTAACATGGAGCCACATCAGCTAGCTTTAACATGGAGCCACATCAGCTAGCTTGAAGGAGCTTTGGAATCCCAATGACAAGTCTATGTATGTTAACCATAACCCTAACCCTATTTTTTATTTTATTTTATTTCACCTTTATTTAACCAGGTAAGCCAGTTGAGAACAAGTTCTCATTTACAACTGCGACCTGGCCAAGATAAAGCAAAGCAGTGCGATAAAAACAACAACACAGAGTTACATAAAACAAAACAAAGTCAAAAATACAACAATTAAAAAAAAAATATATATATATATATACAGTGTGTGCAAATGTAGCAAGTTATGGAGGTAAGGCAATAAATAGGCTATAGTGCAGAATAATTACAATTAGTATTAACACTGGAATGATAGATGTGCAAGAGATGATGTGCAAATAGAGATACTGGGGTACAAATGAGCAAAATAAATAAAAATATAGGGATGAGGTAGTTCGGTGGGCTAATTACAGATGGGCTGTGTTCAGGTGCAGTGATCGGTAAGGTGCTCTGACAACTGATGCTTAAAGTTAGTGAGGGAGATAAGAGTCTCCAGCTTCAGAGATTTTTGCAAATTTGTATTAACCCTAACCCATAAAGCACAAACAGATCCAACAAGCGTCTGCTGTCTGTCGTATCGTAACCAAGGTCAAGCTGAAGGCTCAGGGGAGTAGTACAATGGTGCATCCCAAAGGGCACCCTATTCCCTGTGCAGTGCACTACTTTAGACCATGGCCTGTGGGGTGCCCTTTGAGACGGAGTACTAGGTGTGTGAGAGGGTGGGAGACAGAGACATCTCTAGTCTCTGTTGACAGAACACGATGGGCCCTGGACCTCAACAGTCCTTCAGGGGAGTTATCAACAATTAGACACTATCACACCACCCGAGGCCTACTGCCTAACAACACCATGTACCGACTACCGAGGCCTACTGCCTAACAACACCATGTACCGACTACCGAGGTCTACTGCCTAACAACACCATGTACCGACTACCGAGGCCTACTGCCTAACAACACCATGTACCGACTACCGAGGCCTACTGCCTAACAACACCATTTACCGACTACCGAGGCCTACTGCCTAACAACACCATGTACCGACTACCGAGGCCTACTGCCTAACAACACCATGTACCGACTACCGAGGCCTACTGCCTAACAACACCATGTACCGAGGCCTACTGCCTAACAACACCATGTACCGAGGCCTACTGCCTAACAACACCATGTACCGAGGCCTACTGCCTAACAACACCATGTACCGAGGCCTACTGCCTAACAACACCATGTACCGAGGCCTACTGCCTAACAACACCATGTACCGAGGCCTACTGCCTAACAACACCATGTACCGAGGCCTACTGCCTAACAACACCATATACCGAGGCCTACTGCCTAACAACACCATATACCGAGGCCTACTGCCTAACAACACCATGTACCGAGGCCTACTGCCTAACAACACCATGTACCGAGGCCTACTGCCTAACAACACCATGTACCGAGGCCTACTGCCTAACACAGACTAGGGGGTAATAAAGCTCCAGGAGCAGCAGGTCAGGTCATCTGATCCAGAATCAGGCCTGATAGAGGTAGTCAGGTCAGGTCATCTGATCCAGATAGAGGTAGGCAGGTCAGGTCATCTGATCCAGATAGAGGTAGGCAGGTCAGGTCATCTGATCCAGATAGAGGTAGGCAGGTCAGGTCATCTGATCCAGATAGAGGTAGGCAGGTCATCTGATCCTGCTACAGAGTCACAGGTTGACCTGCTTGGTCCTACTGCTGTATTATCTGACCCCAGACCAGATCCTACATTCCAAGGTGGAGGAAGACGCCCCCAAATTCACCTTCACTGAGCTCAGAGCAGAAAGGAACTACATGATTTGAAGAATTGCTGATTCACCAAAAAAACCTTGGCCCCTTTTAGGATGAAGATTAGCATGCCGGGTGAGGTTAACATGCCGGGTGAATTAACATGCCGGGTGAAAGAAACTCCAGTTGCAAATCCAAACAACAAGGATGCGTCCCAAATGGCACCCTATTCCCTATATAGTTCACTACTTTAGACCAGAGAATGGCACCCTATTCCCTATATAGTTCACTACTTTAGACCAGAGAATGGCACCCTATTCCCTATATAGTTCACTACTTTAGACCAGAGAATGGCACCCTATTCCCTATATAGTTCACTACTTTAGACCAGAGAATGGCACCCTATTCCCTATATAGTTCACTACTTTTGACCAGAGCCAATTGGGGGTCAGGAGGGGCATGTCAGATAGGGGCATAGTGAACTGCCATGACAGTGAGGCCCTTTCTCCTGTCTTCCTTCACCTTGCCAGAGGAGGGAGGACAGGTGCAGACAACACACCTGGGACAAGAGAGAGACAGAGAGAGAGGACACCACAACACCCCCCTCTCTCTCTCTCTCAGTACTGCAGTGAGGCCTGGCACATAGCTGACATTCCACTGATCTGAGCCCTGGGCTGTGGAGAGAGGAGAGAGGGGGAGAGAGGAGAGAGGGGATGAGGGAGATG